ATCACTGGTGTGATAAGTCCTTATTCCTACCTCACAGTAGTAGGTTTTTAATCAATTTGTTTAAATCAAGGGCTAAAAGCAATTTCCTTTATATTTAATTTATAGAATAATTTGCCTAGATCCCAGTTGATATTTGAGCACAGACCCTCATATATATAATGATGAAATCTATTGTCTTAATACTAACATCTGGCTGGTAAGTGATGTAATGAAGGTTGGCCATTAAGTTGTTTGTCACCACTTGTTCCCCAGATGTTGCCTGTAACACACCTCTCTCATAACTGTTCTACATCTTGTAGCAATACCACCTTCAAACTCCAGCTTACTACTGTTATGGTATGTAGATTTAACTTATTTTGTAAAACAATCATCATATTATCTCACTAATTTTTAATACTGTTTATAATAGTATCCCTCATGTCAAGCTACCATTTAACATAATGAAGCCACCTTAAGCCTGTTCCTCTACACCCAATTATTACTCAATAATCATACTTTTATAACGGTTTCTTTGTCTTGTATAATTCTAAGTATCTCACCTTTTTTTATATATGTATACCAACTGAAGAGGGACTATTCCGATAGTCCGAAATGCATTTTGGTTATTTCATGTCAATTATTAATTTAATAGTTTGTAATGTACACCCATTCTCGTTTTATTAAATGTATCCCATTGATATTTTGAGTGTTTGTGCTTATTATCACTGGTGTGATAAGTCCTTATTCCTACCTCACAGTAGTAGGTTTTTAATCAATTTGTTTAAATCAAGGGCTAAAAGCAATTTCCTTTTGTAAATATATATGTTTAAAAATTTTTTGCATAAATTAACATTTAATTTTTTTTTTAATTAGAAAATGTAACCTCTGCTGAAGAGGGCTTTGGTCCAAAATGCTGAAATGCAGTGTCATACAGGATTACGTTACATTAATGGTGTTTGACCTAAAAATTGTGTGATTCACTTTCCTTGATATAACAAATCTTAGTTTACAAGAAAATCCAAAGTGGACAAAGACAATACAAATGGGAAGAACAGCTTTTAAACTTCTTACTTCTTTATGAAGAAAAACAACTTCCTCAGAGAACCATAGGTTGTTCTTGCTTAATTGTAATCAGTGATGACAAACTAATAATACTTGATGGGAAACATCTTTCAAAAATAACAATACAGTAATCATCGTTAACAGGCTTTACACAAAGATAGATAAGTCATAAAAATTCAAATATCATCATTATACATAATTTGGACTATAACAGAAAAAATATTATTATTATTAAATGAAAGAAGGAGTACACCTTATATAACTCCAGCAATATCAACCAAAAACATTTTCAACCTACTTCCATAGGCCTTCTTCAGTTGGAACATTTAAAACTTAAATGAAAAAGAACATTCAAAAAACATTCAATGGTAATAGTTTAAATTAAAAATAATGGGAAAAACATTCTAAATCAATAAAATATTTGTAAAGTACAAGTATAGGAAATAAAAAAATAAATAAATACATATTATAATCAAAACTTAAAACATAAATAAAATCAAACATAAATGGTACAAAAATAAAATAAACAATTATCAGAGGACCAAGCCTAAGTCAAAATGAGAAGAAGCTAAGATCATTAGGCTTGCCAGGAACCCTAATTCTTATCAGGTCTTTGGAGTTATTAGAAGTCTTTAAAGCTAATAGAAAACACTTTTGTATCAATCATAGGGATGCTGACATGTTATTGATGGCTTGGAAATCTATACACAAGCTTTAACTTGGGCTTAGTCCTCCAATAATTGTTTGTTTGTTTATTTTTATTCTTATTTTTGTATTTATGTTTTAAGTTGTGATTATAATATGTATTTATTTATTTTTTTATCTCTTGTATTTGAATGGTACAAATGTTCTATTGATTTAGAACATTCTTTCCATTCTTTTTAATCTAAATTATTTCTGTTGTGTTTAATATCTTTTATCAAATGTTCTTTTTGTTCTTTTTCATTTAAGTTTTGTGTTCCAACTAAATAAGGCTTAAGGAAGTAGGTTGAAAACATTTTTGCTTGATTAAATATATCGCTGGAGTTATACAAGGTGTACTGCTTCTTTTGTTTGGCTACTACTATAGTTTTGTCAAATTATTATTAATACTATTAATTTTTTTACACAATTATTTCTTTGCATTTACTTTGTAAGCAATCATAAAACCACATACTTATTATGAATTATAATACATAGAAAGTATTTCTTTCATTAATTACTATTTATAACAAATTCTTAAGTATTTTTATTTATTACTTCTATCTATTGATATTTGTTTCATTTAGTGATTTCTAATTAATCATTCTCTAACTAAGAATAAACATGTCAACTGGATTAACATGATCATATTCTTTACTTTTATTCAATAAAATAAAATAGAATAAAGAACTTACTGGATAATGAATCAAAAATAAAATCATCACCTTATTATTTCCAGCAATAAAACTATGAAGGCTATTAAAAATAGTCGAAAACGTTATTATCTTATTAAATAATAGTTTTATTGCTGAAAATAATAAGGTGTTGTTTTTATTTTTTTACTTTTATTACAATTATTACAAATGACAATAGATAATTCCATAGTATTACCCCAATAATTTTTGTACTGCTTTGCTTTTAGTTATACATTGTAGCACTGCAAATGACTACCAACAAATACATTCATGCTCATGCTGATAAATTTTTTGGAAGAAACTGCACATTAACTATACAATAATAGAAAAAATAGCTGAGATTAAACAAGTTTTCTTTTAAATGCATTATATATTAAGACTGCATTTTACAGATTTTTCTCATAATCAACTTACAGTAATTTCACTTAAACAACACTGATTATTAAAAATACATTCAAATGGTTATCACTTACTTTAAACTGATTCTTCAAGTGAATGACAATCTCACTATCTATCTGTTGATTATTTTTTTTACTTATTGTTTGTCATCACAGTTCAAGTGGTATTTAATTTCACTTCAAAGCATGTTTCCTTTATACTAAATACACTCAAACAAACCTTTACATATGCAGCCGTAATTTAATAAATAAATTCAAACGTTTTCGACCATATTCAATGGCCTTTATCAAGAAAAGCTGAAAAATCGAACTTCGAATTAAAGATTTGCGTTACCGATCTGTGAAATGAGGTCAGAACAGCTACTGCTTATCATTGCAATTCCATTATAGTTGAACCAATTTAAATAATCCTATTTATTTTATAAATAATTAACAATCTGTTAAATTATATCACTTATTGAAACTGAGCATTGCAATTTTTTAAATTATACTTAAAGAACATCTATTAGATTTGAGGCTCATATATGATAAGTGAATATGATAATATTTTAACAGAAAAAGCAACAAAACTTTATTTAATCAAACTAAACCCCACAGATTGCTTTAAACAGAGCTAATAAATCAAGATAACTTCCACAAACATGTAAATATAATCTTTTTATTATTATTATTTTTTTGATATAATCTTGTAATAATCTTAAATCTTGTAATTCTGGACTAAAACAATTTACTATTTAATTTTAGCAGAAGCCCAAAAAATAAAATACATGCATTTTCTTATTTCGTTGGTCTCACTATTTTATTTCATAATAAAAATTAAAATATCATGGCAACAAGCATCTTTAAAATTTGAAGAATGAATTAAAAACACTAAACCTATAAACCAGCAAATATATAACAAGTGCAAACACTTTCACCTGTATTGAATGAACATTATCAGGCAAACTAATCACCAAATGCTAAAACAAATGGGGACTGCTGAACTGAACACTTGTGCAGAGGGGAGGTGACATAAAATGAGAGAAAGGAGAGAGGGAGGATAGTAAGATTTATAGTTTAAAGAAAGGCTTCCAAGCTGTGAGGAAGGAGTCAACATCATAAAAATTAATAGCAGTTTTTTGCAAATGGCTTTATATATTTCCACCTGCTCAAGATGTTTGAAGAATGAAGCAAAAATTATAAAAATCATGAATTATTATACATTAACAAAACACTTAAATTCAAGCACTTTCAAATTTTAACTCAATTTCAGGAAAACAAACATATCCAATGTTAAAATAACTTAAAACCACAATCAATCAGAGCAAATAACTAAAAAAAAAACCTTAAATTCCAACATACTTTGTTTATTGCAAATAAATATTTTCAACCTTATTAAAATTCTTCCTCAGGCTAAAGTGAAAACTCCAACCATCCAGAAAACACAAAATAAAGGATCATCATATACAAACTTGAAATGTAGAATGTTATAAAAACTTAAAATTGGATAATTAGTTCAACAGTAGAATTTATCATTGTTATTTTGATTTTAAATATATTACAGTTTTTACATTTAACAGGACACTATAAAATTCCAAAGATTTAAAATCACTGCAATCAATAGAAACAATGAAACTGATCACCCTGAACAAACTATTAATGGCATAGCTGGCCCTGAACAGAACAGAAAATAAAAATTTATGAAGTCTTTTCCACATTTAAAGTAGGGACAAATCAAAATAAAATTCACCAACATTATATAGGCCTTCATGTAAGCGAGAAATCTGTTACTAACAAACATTTTGGTCTATATGTAAGACCTTCTTCAGATAGATTTTTTCAAAATTGAAACTTTCTGGTATAGTGCTCTGAATTAGAATGTATAGAAGAATCTCCTAGGAATTCAAATTCAATTTTCTCAACAATCCACAAAACCTTTTTATAATAAATAGCGTTGTGTCCGTAACAATCTTCATAAACGTTTTCGACCTCCACCAAAATCTGCTTCAGACTAAACGTTTGTGAAGATTGTTACACAGTGGCGTGCCATCATTGGAAGCGGTGGATGCGCCGCTTCCCTTGTATTTTCTAAAAAAATAAATACATATTAATTTTAATTACAGTAGAGCGTCGTTTATCCAAAACGTCAGTTATCCGAAAGCATTCCAGTCGGCAAATTTAAATTTTCGCTAGTGCTGTGGCACTACAATCTTTGGCTATATCTTGGGCTACTCCAATATTTTTTTTTGTGGGTGTGTGTATTTTAGCTGGCAGCACTGGCACTTTTGTGTGGTGTTTTTCTGAGGACTGTGTTGTGCTGAATCGAACGTTTTTGATACTAGATCAACTTCTAAAGTATTTTTTTTTTTGTTTTTATATTTTTCAATATATTTATTTTATTTGTACAAAATAAAAAAATAATTTTTAACAATACAATAGCCACGATTATTATTTTAAAAAATTTTCGTTAGTCTTAACATTGACGAAAATTCAACGCAAAGCGACACACAACGGAGAAAAATTTCAACATGGGATAGGTTAATATATTTTTTCGTACATAATCAGTTATCCGAAAAATAAGTTATCTGAACAACCCCAGTCCCCAATTGATTCGGATAAACGACGCTCTACTGTATATGAAAATAATTGCACATTATTTTTATGTATTTTCTTAGCACAATGTTGCTGTTGAGAACATATCACACAGGAACACTTTCAGAGGAAAAAGGTTAAAGGTTAACCTTTTTCCTCTGAAAGTGTTCCTGTGTGATATGTTCTCAACAGCAACATTGTGCTAAGAAAATACATTAATAGAGAACAACAAGCACATTATTTTATTATAACCGCATTATATATCTTATTACAAATTTCTATACTACACATGAAAAAAAGATAAGATTGCTATTGTATATTCGAATATTAGTAACGGAGTGAAAGCGCTGTATTGTCAGCATCCAAAAAGCCAGATTTGCGCATGCACTTTACAGAGCACCAACCTCACCCGGTTTAGCTGGTGGAAGCCTAGGACCTCGGGTGGATGCTACACGTATAATGCATCCAATTCTATCCAGGACCGGTTCTGGGCTGTTAGCCGCCTGCCTGCTAGATATTTGGCCGCCCTCGCCTGATTATGTGAATCACGAGTAGATTTATAACTTAACCCAACCGATAAGAATTTACTGGTATTTTGTTTTTATGATATTTCTGTATAGTTGACAGGAGTTTAAAAAAATCCATTAAAATATTTGATATTTTTATTCTGCTCTCCAATTTTATATTACTCACGGATTTCAATGTTAAACCAGTGATACTATGATTTTGTATATCCCATCTCTAAGGGGATGTAGAAAAAAACGTGTACAATTCTTGTACTATGTTAAAAAATTTACCGTTACTTTGACAGCATCATTTACAACTAAATTTAATGAATGAGAGAGATGCACGAGGCACAGAAAAAGCTCTAGAATTTATTTTCCTTAAATTTATGATTTATGTATCCATTTGTCATAAAAATTTGTCTTTCCACTTTTTTCCCGAGACTACAAATATTCGAGTACAAAGTAACCGGTTTTGATTTATTTCTACTTAAGAAATAGTTAAATAATTAAGCGATTAGGGAATTGGGGACATAAACAAAACCATGATGAAAGAGCCAAAATTTTACTTAAAAGCTTAACCAAACCATCTCTAGCCGAGTACAGTGGAGACTGATTTCTTCGTAAAATTTCTGTCTTTATTATTAATGTAATAAAGACAGAAATTTTTCCAGTTCAATGAGAGTGACCGAAAAGTTGTAAATTTTGGAAATTTCTGAGGACAGTTGGTCCTAAAACGAATTAGTAGAAAACAAATGACTATTAAGTTTAACATATTTAGATTTTTACAGCTATGGTGAGAAACATTTAAAATCTACAACAGCCCTGTCACGTCCTTTGAGATATACTATTGATGCGACAACAGGTATTTCACATTGACCGGTATCAGCACCCTCGGGATTTGGCAGTCCATGTGTATGCATGCTCTGCAACCATCTTCGATTCCATCCATTAGCCACTCGTAGGGAGCTATTTGACTAAGTGCATTGTTTTAAGATTTAAAAAGTAAAGAATATTTTATATTTTTATGTGCGTTTCTTTAGAAAACTATATTTAATTATAATTTTCTTAAAAGTATATTCATACAATTGAAGAATATTTTGTACCAGGTATGTACTGATGCATCTGCCACACATTTTATTTCACCAAGTAAGTTTTTATTATTTTATTTTTAATTGTAGCCCTTATATCATGGCTAGCGATTCGGAATGTAATTGTGATATTAAAAATACATTTAGAAAAGTCTACGGTTTTTACTGGCTTATCGAATAAACAATACGAATGGACTCTAGACCATCGCTGACGCGCAATTAACTGATTGCCCCTGGATGTCAGCTTCTTACAGAAACACAGCTTCCCTATCATCAAATATCACGGCACGCCACTGTTGATACAGACACAACACTGTTATAAAAAGGTTTTGTGGATTGTTGTCACTCAATGCAGAGTTAAGATTAGTAGTCATTTTGTGTTCAATTTTCTCTTTAAATTTTTTCTAAATATCAAATGGAGTGCACCTATTCACAGTCTATGCATTTCCTTTTACAATGATGGGCTGAACATTGCCTGCCATGCTATTGAGACCTGTTTTTCTTCTTTAAAATTGATGGATAGGAGGTCTGCCTTAAATATTTCTAGTGTCTCTAAATTTCTGAGCTAATTTGTATGGTATGTTTTTCATATTAGAGCAGTTTGTTGGAGTTCTGGTTTGATCTCATTATCACTTGCATATATAGCCAGGTCAATGGTTTGCCTCTTCTATATCAGTCTGTTCCAGGATGTGCTGTTTGAAAGATCTCTTTGCAGACCTGATGTATACAAGGTCTCTACCAAATCTGTTATCCTTACATAGAATTTTATAGACTCCCAATGCTCTTTCCATATCTGCTTGGTCTTTCTTGTTTTGAAGTAGCTGGAATGTTTGGTGTTTATGCCTATATGCAATTTTTGCATCAACATATGATGATATCTC